TCTCTCTCTCTCTCTCTCTCTCTCTCTCTCTCTCTCTCTCTCATCCGGAGTAAAGAAAAGGGTCAAGTCTCTCCTTCTTTTTCTCTCTCTTTCTTTCTTTCTTTCTTTCTTTCTTTCTTTCTTTCTTTCTTTCTCCTTCTCTTCTTCTCGCACCTGACGCGCGCACTCTACGAAATCGAGTTGGCTACCTTTCGATGCAGCTCTATCAGCTTTCGCCTGTTTCTTCTCTCTTAGCGGAGGTCATCGCGTAGACGAAGAGGAGAGAAGAGAAGAGAAGACAAGAGAAGAGAGGAGAGTCAGTCGATCGGTCGATCGGTCGATCGGTCGATCGATCGGTCCCCGTCCGTCCTCGTTCGCAGGTACTCGGCCGAAAACTCGCCGGCGTGTCCGTCCGCGATCGCGAAGGCGGCGCGCGCACTCTCGCGCACACACACAGACACGCGCGCGGACGGCACGCACGCACGATGTACGCACGTATATACGTACGCACGCAGTTCTCCTCCGGTATGGAAAAGTCCACTGGGCCCAGCACTTTTTGTGCCGGCGGCCTGCCTGCAACACGCGCACACACACACCTGCACGTCGCGGCGGCACACACTCGTCACTCGTAACGCATACGTACACGACACCTATCTATTTGCCTATCCTTTTCTCTCTCTTTCTCTCTCGCACTGTTTCATTCGGTGTCTCTCCTACACTCGGTCGATCTATCTCTTTCACTCTCTCTCTCCCTCAGTTCTTCTCCTCCTCCCACCAACCTCTTCCCCGTCTCTCTCTCTCTCTCTCTCTCTCAGGACCGCTCGTTGCGCCGTTCTCTCTTTCTCTTCCTCTCTCAGATCCTCTCTCGCGCAATCCTCTCCGCACTGGCCGTGCACAGCCGGTCGGTCTCTACATGTCGAGTATTGCCCGTGAGCCAAGTTCCTCCTTCCCTCCCTCGCTCTCACTCTTTCTTTCTCTCTTTTTCCTCTCTCAGTACATTTCTCTTTTTCTTTTTCTTTCTCTCTCTCTCTCTCTCTCTCTCTAGCCCTCTTTGACCCCCCCGCTCCGTCTGGGGTTCACTCTCCTACTCCAACTACCTTTACTTGCCGCAGCGCGTGTAGTCAGCGATTCGCACGTTTTGGGCTTTCACTCGGACCGATCCATCGACGATGACGACAACGACGACAAGACCGGAGAAGTCAGTCTCTCTTTCCCCTCGGTTCTACTCGCGGACATATGTACGATACGCGTGGCTCTCCGGGAACCGTCTCTACGCGATCGTCGCTACAACGCCCGGAGACCGAGCACTTCTTTCAAGCACTTCCGTCGCCGCTGGACTCCTCTCCTGAGGGAGTCCCCGCTGGCTCTCCTTTCAACCAACTCTCTCTGGACGGACGTTCGTTCGTATTTCGGTTCCCCGTTATTGACGACTCACACATCGGCTGAACTCTACGCCGGCCTTAACGACACACCGCCTCGTCTACGTGGACGGCTTCTTCCTGGCCGCGGAGGAGAATACCACACCGCCGGCGAGGCGCACAGCTGACCGGCCGGTCCGCCAAGCTCGGTCAATAGCCATAGCCAGCCGCGAGCTGCTGCCGAGGGTAGCTCGTGGTTCAGCGCAACGGCGCTTCGGCAATCTCCGACATTTGTCGGTTCTTCCCGTGGCCTTTACGCTGAACAGACTCGTGCCGGAACGACGCCGGGGCCCTGAGCCATTCGTTTCGGTCCGATCGAACCGCCGGGAATGGAAATTTCCTGCCGAACATTCCTAGGCGACCGGAGCGGATCGACCGAGCTGGAATATGCACTCATCGGGAATCCGCTCCCGTATTCCCGCTTCAAAATCTATGATGTAATTCTAAGGAGCCTTTCGGCATCGAATCGTCGTGATTTGCCACATGATCCTAGTGTTAGAAATCAACGGGTTGACCTCGGTGACGATGAGAATTGCATGAATAACAAAGACCGTTCGGTTCAGATTAAGATTCGATTCTTCACTCAACGATCGCGCAGATTTAATGAAGATTCAAAGATGACAAATTGATTTGATCAAATTTAGACAGGACAAGAAACTTATCTGTATCGAATAAATTATTTTCATTTACCGTATCTTCACTGAATTAGTCTCTGCTAATCAGCGAAAATGGTAAACGAAAACAATTCGGTGAATTTTGAACGATAGTTTTCCCAAGACATTAAGTATTCCTCATCGATCGCCTCTGACGAAACGATTTCGGGATGGCGGCGGTCTCTCGGAGCACCAAAAAACTCCTCGCTACTCGATGATCGTGTCTGATTGAGCCGGGGCAAGAAGTCGATGGAATCGCTTCTGGAATGTTGAAAATAAGATGCTTGACTGTGCGAGCACGTTGTGTTTGAGACGCATGCACGGGGCATGTTCTTTAAGGGGAACTCAGTCGCGCATTTTCTGACGTGCTCCGAAAGTCTTTGTCTCTGTAGCCTCTTCTAGAAGACCGGAAGACGTCAGTCCTGGGAAAACTGGAGCAGTTTTCGAGATTCATTTTGTCGCGCGGATTTAGCCGGAATTTCATAGTGAAAGGAATAAGTTGAAATCTCGAAAAACGAGTTTCGACTATTCTTCCCTTGCACTCAGTTCTTCGGGAACGACGGCAAAATTTTCCAGATAAGCTTCACACGAAAAGAAGATTGACGTTGCTTCGATATTTCTTCTGAATATCTATCCTTACGCACAGATTCGATTGCAAATAAAATCTCGTTTTTGAATTGTATAACACGATCTGAAGGATCTCTCGTTTCCACGCTGAGATCTTCGAATGAAATCTGGTTCAGAATCCTGGTTATGTCATCTTGTCAATTTTTCTACAAAGCCGTGGTATCCATTTTTTTTAAATTGAAATCAATTTTTCGGTTTATCATGACGATAAGACAAATCGATTCTTCGTGATAACTTCACGCGCGACAGCTTCGACGATAAAAATTCGATTCGTTTCCATGCGAGCTTTTCGCTGTAGCTTGCTTTTTTTCGCGAATTATTTGTTTAACGAAACAGCGGCGGGCGCGCGCGAGAAAACCGCTTCGCAACGGATATTGATCGAGCAACGAGAGCGAGCGTTGACATGAATTTTATAGTTAACGTGGCACGCATGGCTGGCGGAGGTTGATAATGTGTTCAATCAAACCCACGCGTCATTAAACAAATAAATCTCAAAAACAAAGACGGACAAATTTTCCTTCAAAATTCATAAAGCAAGATATACATATATCGCGACTGTAAAAAAAAATATTTTTTCCAAGTGTCTCGATATCATAAAAAGCAATCAAGAAATGATTGCTGATTTAATTGATTCAAATTAATGAAAACTTTGTCGGCGTCGATCAAAAGATACCTCTCCTCAAACATTTATAATACCGTTTATTATACGATTTTACATAATACATAGTGTAAGAAAAATTATAGAGTTGTTTTGCAACAACATTTATTATCAGAATATCTAGATGATAAGAAGAAACATTAAAATTTATCAAAAAATGAGGATGCACTTGGAAAAAAAAAAACATTGTCCACTTTTATCTGACATAAACGTTGACACTTCCTCAATCGATTGTCTAATATAATAATACGATCCAAGCGATTAATGAAGAATTACGTCGAATCATAATCAATCTACCAACTGAGGCTCATTCTTATCTAAGACCAGTTGCGATGAAAGATCGAACACTTGTCCATAATCGCTCACATACAAAGATTGCTATTAAATAGACAATACGGCGCGATCGCGTAACGAGAGAACAATACATTAACTCTATTACGTGCATCAATAGAATTGACTCAGTATTCTATTTTTGAAGTGTTCGATCCTTCTCATAAAACTCATTCGTGTCAGACACAATTCTGCCATTGTCGAGATAAATATAAATCTTTATAATATTTTTAAAGATATTCTTTACGATATATCATTCAGCAAAGAACAACAATGACAAGTATTTTATTTGATATATAGTTTATATATCAAAAACCTGCTTGAAAATTTAATTAATGTAATCAACATCAAAGCCATGCCAGATGTTCCATGATTAATAAAAGAATCATACCTAATTATATTTAAAAAATAAAGAGGTCTAAGGATGACTCATTTTCTTCAGAACATCCCATCCCTCTTTAATCTCTTCTTTGCACAAAGGATACAAAGAGCTTCATTAATGCTTTTAGTTGATCATATAACCCTACTTAAAGATACTCTAGCTATCTTTAAATCATATTCTTCATTAGTTCCTGCCATAGATAAAAAATTCATTGCATTAAGAAAAGTAAATATAATGCAAGATATTTGTTATTCTTCGCATTCATGTCTCAAATTATTTTTACAATCTACACGCACATTGTTCAATACGTATTTTGTTATGTTATTATTACATAATACATACAATAAAATAATAATACAGCGTAAATAAAAGTGATATTACATTGTTAAGCAAATATATCCAATGAACGTTTTCGAGTGATCCGAGAGCTTTGATTTTCCGGCCAGCTGGGTGGAAGAAAGCGAAGACCGGCTTAACAAGGCAATTTAAACTCGAATTTTGAGGCTGCCCTCAAAGAAAGGGAGACACGAGAAGGTCCTTTGATCAGACCTGTATACTCGATCGAGCGTTAATGTTGATACCTTTTCGATCGTTCGCGTGAGATGCGTGCATTATTTTGTCTTCTTATTTTTCAAGCCGAGGATCTATCAATTGCACTTCCCCGCAACCTGCCACGAAGATTCTTATACAAACGAACCTGGCACTCATTCTTATAGAATGTAAGAGCGCGCTGCGTGGAACGGGACGCAGGCGGGCGAACGAAGGGACAGGGAAAGGGACGTGAAAGTGAAAAGCGACTTTCCAAGCCAGCCGGTGCGGTGTGGCGAAGGGCCCCCGGCGACGAAGG